GGCGGTTAAATGCCAGATGGCTGGCCTGAGTGGCCACTGGGCAATGTTTTACACTGGGCAGACGGCTCTCCCCTGGTCTTAGCGGGCACTGAATGGCTTTTCTTATGCCAGCTGTCTGGTCTGAGTGCAGACCAGAAGGCTAGCTGAATTCTGGGTGGCTGGTCCCTGGTATTGGCAGGTGACAACTATCTGCGTGGGCATCAACTGACTAGGCAGGCACCAACTTGGCTTGGGTGGGCAATGACCAGCTGGCCCCTGGGTTGGTGGCTGCAGTCACTGGACAGCAACTGGGCAGAGCTGGTCAGCCTGTTCCTGACCTGACTGGCCACATGCTTGTCAGATGTTGACAGTAATGAAGGCCTGCCTTCTATGCCAAACTAATCTTATTGATTTTTTTGATTGGGTAACTAAAATAATGGGTGGTGCAGTAGACATTGCAGTAGACATTGCTTACCTAGATTTCAGTAAGGCTTTTGACACTGTTGCACATAGAAGGCTTATCAATAAACTGCAATCTTTAAGTTTGGATTCCAATATTGTTGAATGGGTAAGGCAGTGGCTGAGTGACAGGCAACAGAGGGTTGTAGTCAATGGAGTATATTCAAAGCTTGGGCTTGTCACCAGTGGGGTACCTCAGGGATCTGTACTTATTATTATTATTATGATATTTATAGAGCGCCGTCAAATTCCGCAGCGCTTTACAATGGGTGGACGAACAGACATGTAGTTGTAACCAGACAAGTCGGACACACAGGAACAGAGGGGTTGAGGGCCCTGCTCAATGAGCTTACATGCTAGAGGGAGTGGGGTAAAATGACACAAAAAGGTAAAGATAGAATTAGACTAGTGACAGTTGCAGAAGAGGAATCAGTCAGGAGCTATTAATAGTTTAAGTGATACGCTTTTATGAACAAGTGGGTTTTTAACGATTTTTTGCAGGAGTGGAGACTGGGTGAGCATCTAACGGAGGAGGGAAGCGAGTTCCACAGGAACGGTGCAGCCCTCGAGAAATCTTGAAGGCGAGCATCAGAGGTGGGAGTACGGACAGAAGATAGACGTAAGTCTTCAGCAGATCGTAAGGGCCTAGACGGGACATACTTGTGTATAATGGAGGATAGATAGGTGGGAGCAGCATTATGTAGAGATTTGAAAGCAAGAACCAGAATTTTAAATTTAGCTCTATATTTTATAGGAAGCCAATGTAGGGACTGACAGAAGGGTGAGGCATGGGAGGTGCGGGTGGACAGCAAGATGAGCCTCGCCGCCGCATTCATTATGGACTGTAACGGCGCAAGTTGGGAGCACGTAAGACCACTGAGAAGCGGATTACAGTAGTAAAGGCGAGAAAGGACAGTGGAATGGACCAACACCTTAGTCGCATCTGGCGTTAAGTAGGGGCGGATGCGCGCAATGTTTTTGAGATGGAAATGACAGGATTTGGCGATAGAGTGAACATGAGGCTTGAAGGAGAGGTCGGAGTCAAAGAGAACACCTAGGCAGTGAGCGTGGTGGAGCTGATGGTAGCACCGTTGACTTGGAGGGAGGGAGACACAGGAGTAACAACACTTGAGGGAGGAAAGACCAGATTTTCAGTTTTGGTCAAGTTTAGTTTAAGGAAGTGGGCAGCCATCCAGTTAGAAACAGCAGAGAGGCAGTCAGAGACACTAGTCAAGAGGGAAGGGGAGAGATCAGGAGAGGACAGGTAGATTTGCGTGTCATCTGCATAGAAATGATATTGGAAGCCAAAGGAGCTAATGAGTTTACCAAGGGAGGCAGTATAGATGGAGAACAGTAGAGGACCAAGGACTGAACCTTGGGGGACACCAACAGAGAGGAGTTGGGGAGAAGAAGCAGAGCCAGAGAAAGAAACACTGAAAGAGCGCTGGAGAGGTAGGAGGAGCACCAGGAGAGAGCAATATCTTGTAGACCCGATATTGCGGAGGATGAGAAGAAGCTGTTGTTGACGAACAGTGTCAAAAGCCGCAGACAGGTCAAGGAGAATTAGGATAGAGTAGTGACCACGAGATTTTGCAGTGAGATCATCACTGGATACTTTGGTCAGTGCCGTTTCCACAGAGTGCGAATGAACATAGAACAGCAGAGGGAGTGAATTTAGGGGAAGTATTGTAAGGGGAAGAAGAAAGATGAGAGATCTCTTGTAGAGATCTTGTCAGTGAAGTGAGTTGCAAAGTCTGAGGCAGTCAAGTTAGTAGGTGGAGGAGGAACAGCAGGGCGAAGAAGAGAGTTAAATGTGTGAAATAGTCGTTTAGGTTCACGGGAGAGTGTGGTTATGAGGGTATTGAAGTAATTAACTTTTGCAGAGGAAAGAGCCAAGCTGTATGAGCTCAGCATAAATTTATAGTGGATAAAGTCAGATGCACAGTGAGACTTTCTCCAACAGAGTTCAGCAGTTCTGGAGCATTTCTGGAGGGATCGAGTGAGCTTGGTGTGCCAGGGTTGTTGTTGGGGGGGCCTGCGGCGTTTAAATGTACAAGGTGCCATGATGTCTAGTTGAGAGGAGAGGGTGGAATTGTAGAAGGAGGTTGCAGAACTAGGACAGGTGAGGTTTGAGATAGGTAAAAGTAGAGTTTGGAGATTAGTGGAGAAATGCTCTAGGTCAAGACATTGGAGGTTTCTGTGAGAGTGATGTTCAGACGGTAGTGTCAATTGGGTCTTAGGTATGACAATGTCAAAAGTCAGCAGATGGTGGTCAGATAGAGGAAAAGGAATATTGGAGAGATAAGAGGCAGTACAGAGGTTGGTGAAGGCAAGATCAAGAGTGTTTCCTGCTGTATGGGTTGCTAGATTGGACCATTGCGTAAGGCCAAAGGAGGAGGTTACAGAGAGCAGACGAGAGGCATCAGTGCAATTGGGGTTATTGATTGGGATATTGAAATCCCCAAGTATAAGGGAAGGAGTGCTAGATGAGAGGAAGTGGGGAAGCCAGGAAGAAAAGTGCTCAATGAATAGTCTAGGATAACTGGGGGAGCGGTAGATGATAGCAATTCTTAAAGGAGTGGGTTTGAATAGGCGGACAGTGTGAACTTCAAAAGAAGAAAAGGATAGGGCGGGGGGAGTTATGATTGGTTGGATCATTGAGGGGAGAGAAGGATGCCTACGCCACCTCCTTTACAGTGGAGTCTGGGAGTGTGAGAGAATTGAAGCCCACCAAAACATAAAGAGGCAGGAGTAGAGCTATCAGAAGGGATTTGGTGGCGTCTCTCGGAGGTTGTATAACCCCATATAGTAATCTGTGAAAGCTGATAGGATTTCGGGCATCCTCTGAGTGTATGTCCCATTTTGAAGTTTGATGCCCTCAATGAAAGTGGATTGTTTTCCCTGCCTCAAAGCTTGTGCCAGTAGTTTCCCCCCTTTCCCTCCCTGAGTGTAGTAGGTATGTTTTTTGAATTTGTTTTTCTTTTTCGCATGCAGGTTCAATGTGGTAGTGAGCTCGGTTCGCGAGTAGCGTCTTATAGGTCTCTAAAGTGTGATCTCTGGAGTGCTGCTCCTCCAACTTTTTAATCTGGGAGGTTAGGGAGAGAATCCTGCCCTCTCTTTCTCGTTTCAATTTAGAGGCTAATTTTATTAACTCCCCTCTAACTACACACTTATGCGCTTCCCAAAGCATAGCCTGTGTCGTGTCTGGATGATCGTTCTCTCTGAAGTACTGGCCTAATTGTTCTCGTATTATAGCTATATGTTCTGGGTGGTTCATGAGGAGGTCGTTTAATCTCCATTGGGGTCGTGCAGTAGGTAAGTCCGGGATCGTTAGATCCACTGAGAGGGGTGCATGGTCTGACCATGAGATTTGACCCTTCAGTAGGTCCAGTCTGATATGTGGAAGGAACAGCATGTCAATTCTGGAGTAGCTACCTGAAGGTGGTGAGTAAAAGGAGAAGTCCTTCTTGGTGGGGTATAGCGACCTCCAGGCGTCGAATAGCCTGGCGTCATGTAAGATATAACAAAACCTAGTTCGGGCTGTTGTGTTGCAGTCGCTGTGAAATGATGATGTGTCCAGTTCACTGTCAAGTGCCATGTTCATGTCACCACCCACAATCAGTATGCCCTCACAGAAACTGGAAATGGAATCTAGTATTTTTTGCAATGCTTGACACTGTTTTGTATTAGGTAGGTACAGGTTCGCGAGAGTGACTATTGCGTTCCCAATTTTCCCTTTCACCAGAATATACCTCCCCGCGTCATCTGTTTTCTGTTCGATGAGTTGGAAGGGTACGTGTTGGCCCATTAGTATTGCTACCCCCCTGGATTTGGCCCCTATGTAGTGGCTGAAATATCCTATAGGGTATTTGCGGTTGCGTAGCGATGGGGCTGTGTCCTTCCTAAAATGGGTTTCTTGGATAAACACTATATCCGCTTTATGTCTATGGAAGTCATCTAGAGCTAGGGTTCGCTTTTCTGGCGTGTTGAGGCCTCTGGCGTTCTGTGAGTGAATGCGTATTGTGGCCATGTCATGTATGTCAGTTAGGTCACTACCTCGTCCTGTGGTATGTAGTGTGTGGAATTACTGTAGAGTAGGCTAGGGTACCTTCGGTCTTAGAGAGACCTGAACTGTGGTCTACGTCTATCAGAAAGTCTTGGTGCTCACTTAATACTGTGTTGTTGCCTAAGGGGTCGGTTGGTCTGGTGTACACCGGTAATTTACAGAAGGATAGCAAATAGCGAAATACGTTAACTGAGGACAAAATATCAAAAAATATACAGCAAGGTTAAATGGAAAAGAATAGAGATGAACCAAACTTAATTTACAGGTTTTTTTAACAGTAAAAGAACTGTAACAATTTATGAGTACTCTTGATATGTGTGAGAAGGTTACGTTGGGTAAAGGCCCCACTGCCTTTACCCAGTGTCACCTTGGTGTTAGGAGTCTAGACTATGGTCTGTCTAGAGCTAAAGCTCTTCGAGCTATTTGGAAAGGTGCTAGCTCTCTCTCTGTGCACGAGAGGAACCGCTGATTTATGTGGGTAAGTGGACATTGAATACCTGGAACAGTGTATACCACAGTATAGGTATGTAACGTTTGGGAGACTAAGAGTTCAGGGGAAGCTAGTGCTATAATATGATTATTATTTTTTTTTATTTTTTTAGACTTGGGGAGTAATAGAGCAGTCCGGTATGCTGGAACTGGGGGGGGGGAGGAGGGGGGACAGAGATATAATCCCATAATACAAGACAATATCGTGCAATCCACAACAGATTAGTGTGATACGACCTGGTTGGAGCCGGTCTCCCCACATGTGTCGCCTCTCAGGAGTCCTGTCCCAGACCGACTCTGGGGGGAGTGTCAGGTCACTGGTATCCGAGGGGGGGAAAAAAGAAAGAAAAGAGGGAGGTAGGGGGGTGGGTATGTCCCTGTTGCTCTTTAGATGATCGGTATGCCCATGGCTGAGGAAAGGAGAGTCTTGGTCTATAAGTCCGATCCTTCGGCTGAATCCCGTGGCTCCTTGACTCGGCGGGGAGAAAAAGGGTAGAGATGTCGGTCGGGTTGTCCTCTGTTGTAGGTGTTCCCACCTGCTCTCCAAGGTCCTCGGTGTCCTGGCACAGGAATTTAAAGGCCACGATCGGGATGATTGTGGTTATCTCCTTGGTCATGTGGGTGTCTTCTGTTGGGTGAGAAGACTCTATTTTCGAGCCTCCTTTTCTTCATTGGGGTAAAGGCCCATTGTCTTTGCGGGAGGGAGGTTCCTTCCACCCCTGAGGGTGGCTGGTTCCAATCCATCACTTGCGTGTCAGGGAGATCCAATGCTCTCAAAAATGGTTTGATATCCAAGTGTGTGGTGATAGATATTGTAGATCCCTTGTGTGAGACAATTAGGGCAAATGGAAAACCCCATCTGTATTTGATGTTGCGTTGACGTAGTAATTCTGTTACTGGTTTCAGGTACCTCCTGGCTTGGAGTGTATACCAGGTTAAGTCAGGGTATATCTGAACTGGGGAGCCGTGAAACAGTAGTGGTTGGGTAGTGTCTCTAAGCGATCTGAGGATCTCATCTTTGACTGCGAAGTAGTGCAGCCTGCAGATAATATCCCTGGGGGCGTCTTGGGTAGCCCCCCTTGGACGGAGGGATCTGTGAGCTCTGTCTAGTATTACTGGATGGTCTCCTGGTTTGTTTAGCAGGAGGTTGAACAATTCGGTGAGTATTGAAGCGACGTCCTCCCCCTGGAGTTCTGGAAGGCCCCTCACCCTCAAATTGTTCCGCCGGCCCCTATTATCAATGTCATCCACATACCTATGGAAGCCCATGAGTGTCGTAGTTTGGGCTTCTAGGGAGGAGGAAAGATTGGTGATCTGGGCCTGTATTACATCCCTCTCATCCTCTAGGTCTGTAACCCTCCGGGTGACCTGTTGCACATCAGCATCAAGGGATTCAATCTTGTGTTGAAAAGACTCCTCCAGCTTACTCAGCATAGCGGCTAAATCTGCCTTCGACGGCAGATTTCTCAGTAGATCCCTAATATCAGCATCCCTCCTCGGGTCCAGGGATCTGTTGGAGCTCTCCGAGTTCGCCGGGCTAGAAGGCCCAGTGTCGTGCGCGGATTCCGCCGCGGCCATCTTGGATGCCTCTG